GCGTGGATTGCGCGTGTCGAAGCGCTCTCGCTGTGGCACCGTGCGAATTTGCCTTCCTCGCGGTGAACCCTTTGCGTAGATCCTTCGTGTCGAGGTGCTCTTGCTGCAGCGCCGTGCGAATTCGTCTCGCTCTCGGCAAACCCTCTGCGGAGATCCGGCGTGTCGAAGCGCTCTGGCTGTGGCGCCGTGCGACTTTGTCTTGAGCTCGGCGAACCCTCTGCAGAGATGCTGCGTGTCGAAGCGCTCTCGCTGTGGCGCCGTACGAATGCGTCTTGCTCTCGGCGAACGCTCTCGCTGCGGCGCCGTCCGGTTTTCTGTTTTCTTCGCTTGCGAATCGCTGTTTGGAAGCTGTCTCGTGGCTCGCCCGTCTGCTTTCACGATTGCGCGTTAGTACGCTCAGTGCGCTTCCGCAGCTCCGACACAACATTTGCAAATTGTAAGTACAAAAAGTAGTGTGAGAAGCGCGCTCCCTCATCTCCGGCAAATCGCAAGTTTTAAGGACCAAAGTAGCAGCGCGAAGAGCATTTCCAGAGGCGCGGCTACGAAAACACAAATTGTAGGTACAAAAGTAGTACGCGAAACGCACTCCCGCTGCTCCGGCTGACAAATCGCAAGTCTTAGGCACCAAAGTATTAGCGCGAAGAGCATATCCAGAGGCGCGGCTACGAAAACACAAATTGTAGGTACAAAAGTAACACACGAAGTGCACTCCCGCAGCTCCGGCTGACAAATCGCAAGTTTTAAGTACAAAAGTAAAACATGAAGAGTATTTCCAGAGGCTCGGCTGCGAAATCGCAAATTGTAATCACGAAAGTAGTACGCGAAACGCACTCCCGCAGCTCCGGCTACAAATTCGCAAGTCTTAGGCGCCAAAGCAGCAGCGCGAAGAGCATATCCAGATTCGCGGCTACAAAAAAACAAACTGTAGACACAAAAGTAGTACACGAAGTGCACTCCCGCAGCTCCGGCTGGCAAATCGCAAGTTTTAAGTACAAAAGTTAAACGCGAAGAGCATTTCCAGAGGCGCAGCTGCGAAATCGCAAATTGCACCATATTGCAAGTACAAAGGCAGCGCGCGAAGTTCACTCCCGCAGCTCCGGCTGACAAATCGCAAGTTTTAAGTAGCAAACAAAGTAGTGTGTGAAGAGCATTGCCAGAGGCGCGGCTGCGAAACCGCAAATTGTGTACAAAAGTAGCACGCGACGTGCGCTCCCGCAGCGCTGGGGCTGAAATCTCGCAAGGTTTAAGTGCATAAGTGGTGCGCGAAGTGCGTTGTACGCGAAGTGCATTCCCGCAGCAGCCCCAGCTCCGGCTGCAATACATGTTTTTGCGCAAAAGGTAGCGCGCGAGCGCGCTCTCGCAGCTCCAGCTCGAACATCGCAACTTTGATTTTCAAGCGCGAGTGCAATGCTCGGAAAGCGCGCTCTTTCATCTCCAGCTCGACAATCGCAGCTTGCAGGCGCAAAAGTAGTGTGCCAAGTACACTTCTGCAACTGAAGCCGCCAGCCGTCTTGCACAGCCAAACTGCACTGGACAAGAGAGGTTGACAAGAGAAAGGGACATGAAAGGTTGGGCGAGAGAGGTTGTGCAGCGTCACGCGCGAGAGGAACCGTCACGCGTAGCATCATGCGCAGCATCACGCACGGCGTCACGCGCAGCGTCGTGTGCAACATCATGCCTGCGCAGCATCATGCGCAACATCACGCGTAGCTTCACGCGCAGCAGCGTCAAAACACGGCGTAGCGCGCAAGAGAAGTTGACAGGGCAGATTTTTCGAAGCGCGGCGCCAAGCTGACATTGATGTGCTTTCGTTTTTCTCACCTGCAGCGGGAGAGGTGTAATGTTTTTGTATTCTTCCAGGCCACCCGTCGTCAAACTAAACCCAGTACTATGCGGGGTCTCTTGCCGGGATAACTTTTTCTGATCTGTGTTCCGAGAAAGGGGTGGCAACCCCAGACAGTACCGAGCCCAAACTATAAATGAATACCACGGGGTGGCGCAGTTAGAATGTTTGTTTTTGGGCCGGGAAGCCTTCATCAGGCGATTAATCGTTTGCGTATGATATATATATATAGATAATGTTTTGAGGGCGCCGCACTATTTTCCAGAAAGGGGTGGCATTCCTTCCCTTTAGCCCCACCCCAAAGAGTATCAAGCCTCAAGGAATTAGACATGAACACCATGGGGTGGCGCAGAGATAGATTAGTTTTCATCAAATTTTCATCAGGCGACTCATTGTATGTACACATTAATCTGTATATATAGAGATAGCAAGCATTGGGTGGCACTTCCGTCCAACAAGGGGTGGCCTGCTTGCCCTTCACCCAACCCCACGCGGTACCGAGCCCCAAATTTAACATGAACGCGGCGTGGCACAGATAGAATATTGTTTTAGCCCGGGAAACCAATCTCGCGGTATATATATATACATAGTAGATAGCTTATTACTCAGGGCACCCTCAGTATTCAGGAAGGTGTGGCCTTCCTTTCCCTTCAATCCAACCCCAACGGTACCGAGCCCAAAGTAGAAATGAACACCATGGGGTGGCACAGTTAGAATATGTGTGTTCGGGCCACTGGAAAATGACTCGGAAAGGAGGTATTTGCAATACTAAATGTAGTCCTGGCAGTCCAAAGCGACTCGAGACGTGTGCTGTTAGCAGAACAGGGTTCATTTAAAAATAATGCGGCCTTTGCTGAATTATACTACCTGGTTAAAATACAAAACTTACCACTCAAAATATTGAACGTATTAGTCGCGATGGGACAGTTAGTGCAGGGAGGACTCGTTTTTGCCGCCCGCGGCAAAGCTACCCAGTGGCCAGAAAACCTTCCAGGATTCATTCTCAACTAAGGAGTTTAAACAGTTCAAATCCTTGCTCAAATGTACTAAGCTTTGTGTTGGCAATCCAAGGTTTATTGGCAATGCTAAATTCAATGTCGGCAATAGCAAGAATGTCCTGCCAATACTAAGTTTACTTTTGGCGATGCTAAAATTAGTACTGACAATGTGGGTGCACTCTTCACAAACTAGTACTGGCAATGCTACTGGCAGCGGTGCTAGAATTGGTTCTGAGTTGGAGGGCCCGATTTTGCCTCCCGCGTGCAACTCCAAAGTTTCTACCTTTGAGCTTTTCATGCAAGCGCTCGAGCTTCCCCCCCTTTCTAAGCCAAAAAACCTTCGCTAGATGTAGCACTGGCGATTTTAATTCAATATATTGGAAATGCTCAATGAAGTGCTGGCAAGAGTGATTTAATCCTGGCAGTCTAAAACATTGGAGATGTCCGTTGTTATCAAAACAGGATTCTTTTAACCACGCGGCCCTTGCTGAAATATTCAACTGGTCAAATCATTTTCTGTTTGCTGGCCACTCGGAAGGGTGTTCAAACTTGAAGGATTTACGCAAATGTGAATTATTCTAAGTGCAAAATCTGCTCCGAACAGAGATATTCCAAGTGTAGCGCATATTCGAAGCGCGCAGTGCTGAGCGGGTGCTCTTGAGCGAGCGTGGTTGGCAGTTGGCAAGCGCGTGTTCAACGCTGAGCGGGCGCTCTTGAGACACTGCGCTCCACAGTTGGCAAGCATGATTGCAGTTCTGAGCGGGTGATCTTGGGTGGGCGCGCGCACCAGTTGGCCAGCATGTGTGTGGAGCTCAGGTGCTCCTGAGTGGGTTGAGCGGGTGCTCTTGAGCGGGTGTGCTCAACAGTTGCTTAAACGTGCTTAACAGTTCGCCAGCGCCGGCCTTTGCAGGGCGGGTGCTCTTGAGCGGGTGTGCTTAACAGTGGGCAAGCGTCTGTGAAGTGCTGAGCGCGTGCTCTTGAGACATTGCGCTTAGCAGCTGCAAGCGTCATTGAGCGCGGAGAGAGTGCTCTAGAGCCAACGGGCGCTCTTGAGCCGGCGCTGAGCAGTTTGCCAGCCTGTGTGCAGTGCTGAGCGGGCGCGGGTGCGCTTAACAGTTGGCAAGCGTGGGTGCAGCGGTGAGCGGGTGCTCTTGAGCGGGCGGCGAATTGGGCAAGCGGGCAGCTTGTCGAGCTCAACTGGTTGCCAGCGACTGTGTTTGAGCTTCCGAAGAGTGACCCAGAGGGGCCCATTCCGGGTTATTTGGAAAACAACACAGAACACTGAACAGCGAAAAGAGCAAAAGGACTGACCCACCCTGCTGTATAAAAATGCTGTGTAAAAAACGGATCAGCCGAGGTCTGATTGCTGATGTGAGCTAGTTGGCCAGCCTGTGCGCAGTGCAGAGGAGTTGCTTTTGAACGGGTGTGCTTCACAGTTGGCAAGCATGTGTGCTGAGCGGGTGCTCTTGAGCGGCTTGCTTAGCAGTTCGCAAGCATGTGCTCCTTGAGCGGGTGTGTGCCAGAAGGCGAGCACGTGTGCAGCGCTTGAGCGGGCGTGGTTAACAGTTGGCCAGCGTGTGTGCAGTGCTGAGCGCTTGCCCTTGAGCGGGTGCGTTTAATAAGATTTGACCATCGTGTCTCAGCTCTCGAGCGGGTGTGCTTAACCGTTGGCAAGCGTGTGTGCAATGTGCAGTTCAAACGCCAGAAAATGGGTTCGCCAAAGCCCCTGCTTGCACGTTAGAGCTTCGCGTCACATGCGAGCGGAAGCTTGCGAAAGCGAAAGCGTGCGAGCTTGCGCGCATCTTTGGGCACACGGAAGGTGGAAAGCATCCGAGCCGTGCACTCCCCAACTTCAACTGGGTCGTGAGAGTGCGTCTGCTCTACTCCGCGTTCATTTCCGTCATCCGGGGCTGCCTGGTTCTGGTTGTAAGTGTCCCTTGGGACATATGAGGCCTCTGGGATGAGTGCGGGCGCCGTTTGCGCGGGGGGCTGGTGGACAAAAGTTCTGCTGGCATTGGGTGGCATTCGCTTGCTCAAGAGTTCAGTTCTTCGCGAGTTTCCCGGGCGCCACACAATGGTCGAGCACGCATGCATGAATCACATTAGTCAGCCGGCAAGCTGCTGCGAACCATGACAAGCAATGCAAACCAACATGCGCAGATTTGTTTGCAGCGCATGGCGGGGGCGATCGTCAGCCAATGGCGTTGCCCTTGCCGGAGCAAAGGCGCAGCGTCGTATTGGGCGTTGCACGAGGGCTTGGCGTGTAAGATGTTGCTACGGCGTTTTCAAGCAGGCTCGTCGAGTGGTTTGTCCTCACGGCTGGTTCCCTGTGCATTGAAGGGTCGCCACAAACGCTTAGATTGAAGTCAAACCCTTGAATGTGGACCATGGAGCCGCGTGACTGGCATCCTCTAGTCAGCCTTGCAGTCACCTTAGGAGGATGTGAGCTTTGGTAGTCAGCACTCATGACTACCCTGAAGTGCGCTCAGCAGCAAGGGAGTGACATGATAGAATATGATAAGAACGAAGCAAAACAGCTTCACTTCTCTGCCCGGGCGCAGCCCATGTGTTTCAGCTCATGACCGCCAGATTGATTAAAAATGAATAACCCTTGCAGAAGCCACTGCGCACATGATATTCGCTGGCTTTGTGGCCGGCAGAAGCTCTTTTGTTCTCGTAGCTCGTATAAGGACCCCCCAACTGCAGCTTTGTCAGGGCGCGATCTTTGGTGGTGAGGTGTCCCAACACCCTGCAAACGACGAAAGGTTTTTTTGCAGTTATGGACTTGCAGATCAGCAGGGGCGGGTTAACCGGATACTTTGCCCCCTAAGAGAACCCCATAACCGACTCAAGCGCGCAGGGCCTGTTTAGTACACCATCAACACTGTGATTGCGATCTTGGGCTTTTGCAAATAAGACTGCGAAGCCGGTCTGGAGGCGGACACGCCCGGCGGTCGAGCAGGTAGGAGAAATCCCACACACATTCCCGCTTGGAGCGGCCTACGTGCAACCGACTGGACGGAGCAACGAAGAGCCATGTCCGGCGCCCGGATCCAGATCGCTTGATCAGGCGAGGTGCTGAGGGCATCGCCTTTGCAGCAGCTGCACGTGTTCCGGTGGCAGCCAAGACGGATCTTTCGGCAAGCCATGACTTCTTCGGAGACACAATAAGTTGGCTATCGGCAACTTCGGGCAGAAAAACATTGTTCATCGGCGCGGAGAGCCCGAGTTGCGCAGCTACTCAGGTGGAACGCGTTGGTGTAGCAGCGCATTGCTCACCGGCGCAGAGGGCCCTAGTTGCACGATAGCTTCGAGAAGGACACCTACGTCTACGCCTCGATCCTGGAGGTCCCCCCCCCCGGGCAAAACTTGGAACCCAAACCCAAACCTTGACATTTGTTTGATTGGAAGTATCGAGGTCGGAGGCCGTTTGGGTGTGACGCCGTGAGAATACCGTTTGACCATGTTTGCCCAACGCGGCACGGCCCCGTGAAAGCGTGAAAATGCGGCACAGCTCCGAAAATCCCAAGTGGCTGTGAAAAGTTGCAATCGCGGTCGCGAGCAGCATGGCCTTGCAAACAGCGTCGTGCAGCTGTCGCGGAACTCAGCGAACTCGGGCTTGAACTCGAACTCGGACTCCCCTCCACTTCCGCAGGAAAATTGGAGCGCGCACGCTCGATCCCGAACTCGAACTGCCCGTGCCGGCGTGCCGGATCTCGAACTCGATGCCCGAACTTGAACTGCCCTCCTGACCGCAAGCCCCGTCCGAACGCGAACTTAAACTCGAACCCTCCGCTCCGCCCCCGTCGTGTTGGAGCGCGCGCCGGGACTTGAACTCGAACTCCTGCCTCATGATAAGCGCGCTCGCTTGAGAGAACGAGCTCACCGCTCCGCACGACGGTATGCCCGCCTGTCCAAGAGAATGCGTTCACGACTATGCTCGCCAAGTGGCAAGCGCACTTGCGCTCACCACTTCGCGCGTGTGCTCGCCAGATGAGAAAAGCGCGCCCACACACAGACACCGCTGCGCTTTTGCCTGCCAAATGATCGGGCCTGCTCACGCGGCGCGCTCACCGTCCGCGCGAGCCTGCCAAATGATAAGCGCGCCTGCTCAGAAGGACCCACTTGCGACTGCGCGCGCGTGCCTGACAATTGGTAAGGGCGCCCACGCAAGAACGCACTCATCACAGCAGCGCCCGCTCAAGAGAACACACGCGCAAATGCACACATGCCCCGTGCCAAACTCGCCAGCGCACACATTCCTGCCAGATGATAAGCACTTCCGCGCAATAGACCGCACTCACCACAGTACGTGCACCTTGCCGCACGATAAGCCCGCTCGAAAGAAGGCGTTCGCCTCTGCACACCTGCCTGCCAAGTCTCAGGCGCATCTGCTGAAGGCAACACACTCACGACTGCACAAAGGCCCTAAGCGCACCTTCGGAAGAGCGCTCATCGTCGCCACGGCGCGCAGGGGAGAACACCCGCGCGCGCACCACTCACTGCTCCCATGCCTCCTAAATGAGAAGCGCCCCCGCTCCAGAGAACACGCGCCATTGCACAAATGATAGGCGCACCTCCGAAAGACCTCGCGCCCGTGGCCGCTGCGCCCACGCCTACCAGCTGATAAGCTCGCCCGCTCAAGGGAACACGCTCAGCCGCGCATACGCCTACTCATGGTAAGCGCACCCGCTCAAAAGAAAAGATTTACAACTGCGCATGCGCCTGCCAAATGCAAAACATAAGCGCGCCCGCTCAAAAACGCGCTCACCACTGGACGACAAATGAACACATTCACCTCTGCGCACATGCTTGCCAAATGCTGAGCAAAAACTCGGGGAACTCAATTTGTACCGGAACTGGAACCCGAGCTCGAACCCGAACCCCCCTCGTCGAACTTGAGCTCGAACTCGAACATGAGGAAGAAGTTGAGCGGCTCATGGCAGCCGACGGTGGGCTCTTGAGGAGTGCATCCACGTAAAGCAGGAGGTGCCGCCGGTTGCAAGGCTGGCCGCTTCTTAATGCAATCCGCACATTGCATCTTCGCACCATCTCGCTGCACCACTCAGGCCCTTTGCGTGCTAGTAGTAGCCTTTGTATCCTGAAAACTTGTGAACCTCATCCTCGATCAGCTCCAGCTTCCTTCCCGTAGATAGCTCCTGTCACTTCTTCGTCCGCTCGCTGGGCAAGATTCTGCAGCGGTGACAACCTTGCGCGTGGGAGTGAGATCCGCTGCGCCATGAAACCCTACGCCGCTTCCAAATCATGGCCCTCAGCGCTGCCAGCTCCTTCCTGCGGTTTGCCGTGACTGGCTCGGATAGATCCCTGTCGAGGATTTATTGAGCTCCGTTCGTGGCGGTTTATCGACCAACGTACAAGCTGGTACTTCGGCGGCGCAGAGCAAGTGGTTGTGCAACGGCAGAGCAGTTGCAGGAGTAGTTCGTCCGAGCCCCAGGGATTCGGGCTGACGACGGCACCAGCCAGGCGCGCTGGATTTTAGGCGCAGAAGAAGGATGCATTGACATCCTCAAGTGCGACTACTTCGTGAATAGCCAGAACTTCAGGTTGGGCAAGCCTTTGAACTCAAAAATATTCACCCTTTGAATGGAGAAGAGGTGGTGTCAGGAAAGTCTACTTGCTGGAATCGCACCACGGCAAGCTCTTGGAGGAGATTCACGGCTTTGTGAGAACGCCGATTGCTTTTGAGTGCGCAAAGAGCAAGCGACGCAATTGGACGGGCCCGCAGGCCATCTCGGACGGGAGCGTTGCTCATGCTCTGGAGTCAGAGAATGAGGCAGGGGAAATCTACCGGGAGGCGGTTCGGGTCCTGCATCAAGAGGGCGCTGCGTTAGCGCACCTCATCCGGGCAAAGACCAAGCGCATCCCACAAGGAGACCATCAAGAAGCTCTACGCGCGAGAGGAACGAGGAAACGTAGTAGCCACACACCCACGACACGCCGCGAAAGCCAGGAGGACGGGAAAATCCACAACGCGCCGCGGCACACCGCGACACATTTGGTGCTTTTCCAAAACCTCCGTGACGCGTCGTGGTGCTTCGCGGGGTTTTTGGGCCGCGTGTATCTTGCAGACAAGCATGTTTGATCAAGACACATCTCTTCAGTTACCCCCGAGCAATTCTCCCGAAGTGTGCTTGTGCGTCGTGGTGTGCTGTGGCCTTTTTTTGGCTCAATTTGTAGCGCGCCGAAACTTCTCCGCCGTGTGTCGGCTGATGAGAGTTGCTTCAGTCGCTCTGCCTCGCTTTGCTTCCGCCGCCCCAGGCCGATTGTGGCGCCGTCAGCACGCGGGCCTGGCGGCTTTGATCTCCCGAGCCGTGGCCGCCTTCCGTTGCCGTGGTGGTGGGGAAGACCACTTTGCAGCTTGACCAGGTAGAGTGTATCGTGCCAGTGTGGCAGACGACCTTTCGCATCCTCGAAAAAACCCCTTTGGCCGAAAACATCTGTGGCCGCAATTGTCCCCTGAGGCCGCTTCTGTGAGTGAACGAGGTCGAGCGGTATGTCCGCACCACATGTTTTCAATTCAGCCTCCAGGAGTTGGCGCGAGGACGTGTGCTTTTGCTTACTAGCCCTACTGGCAGAGCTGAATGGCGAGTGGTGACTCGTCAGAACGAGGCGGTGTGGTGATGCGCGGCTGAGGAATCTACGGCTCGGTTGCAAGTAACAGCTCATCGCTTCACGGCCTTCGATCAGGGCAAGCTGGGCGCGAGGGCGGGACACGCGGATCGACGCCGAGTTTCCGCTGTGTGAACGGACTGGCCCAACTGGCCGACGCAGGGCGGCTCGCCCGGAAGATGGTGTTGGCCTCCATGGCGTATGGCAAGGAGTGGAAGTTGGTGGACGACCCGAAGTTCAAGGCTGGCAAGAAGGTGAAGAAGAAGGAGCTTGTGAACAAGCTCAGACAGGCAAGCAGCCTTTCACCAAGGACGGATGCAGAAAAGAAATGGAAGGAACTGAAAAGGAAACATATAATGATAATTCGAACGAGGATGATGAGAATGATAAGGACAATGATGATGAACAGGATGATGAGCACGATGATGAAAATGACGATGCGAATAATGATGAACTTGTTGATGCAAATGATTCAAATGATTGCCAGTAGTCAGAGCTTTCGCCATAGGTCTTTTTGGAAACATGTCTTGCCTAATCATCATAAATATCTTAATTGCCGTAATTAGTTACGTGCCCGAATTGGCAAATTATCCG